CCCAATTCAATATATATAAAAAAAAAACTAAAAAGGTTAAAAAGTAAAAAAATAAAATAAAATAAATTAAAAGAGTTAATTTAATTTATGATTAATAAAATTAATTAATTTTAATTAAAATAAATTAGTCATATTTATTGAGTTTGATTTGAGATGATTAGATTTATTTAGTTATCTCAATTAATGATTAGTAAATATGATTAATTAATTTTAATTAATTTTGATTAATTTAAGTTAATTATTCAATTAGATTAATTATCTTGATTAATTAATTTTAATTCTCAATTAACCTTAATTTTGGTCAAAGTCAAAGTTCTCTTTCATTTTATTTCATTTTACTCAAAAGTTTTTATGATTAAGCAATTTAGTCCTAAGGTTTCAAATCTTTCTAAATCAGTTCTTCATGTTTTAAATTTAATCAAATTGGTCCCTTTAATGTTTTCTGTGCTTATGATGCATGCTTGTCTTTGATTTTGTCTATTTTAGCTTAGAAATTAAAAAATGTTTCAATTTGGTTTATCTTTTTTTAAGCTTGCTTATTAAGACTTAAGTAAACAGATAATGAATAAGTTGAATTAAAACCCCCCAATGTTAAAGTATGCAACCGTGTTTAAACGGAGGATTGTGAGGTGCGCGTATGCCTTTCCTCACTCCTAACCGAACCCCCGAACCTCGATCTCTGCGCAGACCTGTTTAGGTGACTTGTCCCACCTTATAATTTGGACGAGTGGCGACTCCCTTTCCTTTTATATTTTCACACAGTAATCCCATTTTAAGTGGTCGTCAATACCACCATTTCAGGAAGCAAAACCGAGGACGGGGAAACCGAGGGGAGTGACGAGTTAGAAGGCTAGCCATTCGAGATTGACATAGATTTTAGAAATAAATCGTGATGTTGTAAACTCGACTTTATTGGAGATTTATGATATTAGAGCAAATTAAGGATTTGATCTTTAGATTTAGTGGTATTGTAAGCTCGATTGAAATTGGAGATTTTATAACTTTATTTAATGGATTGTTAGTTTACAAAGATTTGACCTTGAGATTTTGAGTTTAGGTCATGTTGGACTTAGAATAAATTTTGAAATATCCGATCTATGTTATTGGAGTGTCAGACATGAATTGGATAAGTTTCGAGCCTTGTACATTAGTGGGACCCGTTCACGAGTGCACAGCGTCTGTCGCGCCTCGAATTCGGGTTTTGGGGCGTGACAAGTTAAATATGCATATATTGTGAGATTATAATAATTAGGATTAAATTCCTTAGAATTCAATGTTATATTTTTCTTTTAAGTAATGATATATCCTTTCACTACTAATTTCCTTTTAATATTAAATTTTTATTTTATTTTTTAAATTTCAAGGACCCGAGCATTGACTGAGGTATTAACTAGTTAAATAAAAAAGAGGTACTGAACTATTAGTTCATTTTAAACCCATTAATAATGCACAACTATCAAGATTATAAAAAAAAATTAATTAAACTTAATCTTTTAATCAAGTTTATACCTATATAGCTATACTAACTTCAAAATATTATCACACCTGGCCTGTTAGACCGATTGGAAATTAGTGTGTGCTCCCAACTCATAAGG